ACACATACACACATACGTGTCCAAATTTAAAATAGGAAAAATTAGTTTACGATCCCTCTTCCATTTTTAGTAGTGGAAGAGATCCACAATATTATTTTATGATGTTTAAGGTCTCTCAATCTCACACCCATATATTACAGAGAAATTTGACTCCCTCAAATCAAATCAGTCTATAAAGAAGGAGCTGCGAGAGAGGATGAGACAGTGACACTACAAAAAATTAAGATTTTAGAAACCAAAATTTAGGGACAAAATTATTTTTTAGGGACCAAATAATTTTGTTATGAAAAGTGTTGTTATTATATGTTTAGCAAATTAAAATTGGACATTAGTGATGAATTATTATCATTTTGGGATCAATTTTTTTGTCTCAAAAAATAAACCATTTTGAGACCAAATTATTTTATCCCTAAAAGTCTATTTAGTAGTGACATTTTCAAAATTTTGTTGCTAAAAACCTTATTTTTAACTTTTCGAGACGACTATCCTCATGACGATGGAAATTGGTCCCTAAATGTCTTTTGCAACAAAATTTTCACTTTTAGAAACCAAAACATTTGGTCTCTAAAACTCTTATATGTTGTAATTTGAAGACGGTGATCATACCACACGATCCAAGCCATTCCCAGAGAGTACACTGGCTGCAAAGTCTCTGCCACAAACAGACTCCAAGGTCGAATCCCCGCCGTCGTGTTAGCCCAAGACAATGGCGGCCACACCACCACCATCACTAGGTCAGCCTTTAGAAAATACCTCGTCACCACCGAGAGGAAACAGATTCAAGCCATCTTTAACACTGTTCAACTCCCCTTTTTCTACTCCACCAGTTTCCCTCTCCAAATCCGCATTAGTTCTGGTTGCTCCACTGTCCTCGAATCTGGCACTATTCTCCCCATCAAGATTCATAGGGATGAGGAGAGTGGGAAGATTTTGAATTTAGTGTTTGTTTGGGTTGATGAGGGATTAGAGTTGAATGTTGAGGTGTCGGTTGTTTTCAAAGAGGAAGATGTTTGTCCTGGTCTCAAGAAAGGAGGTACTTTAAATAAGATAAGGACCACTTTAAAATATCTATGCCCAGCTGAACACATCCCCTCCAAAATTGAGGTGGACGTAAGCAATCTAGACATTAAAGATAAGGTGTTTTTATGGCGGGATTGTCTTTCACTTTTGTGCATAACGATTGCTGTTTTTGCTTCGTGTATTGAATTGAATTTCTCTGGTTTGGTTTAGAGAAATTCTCTGGTTTGAACTGGGGAAATTTTCTGGTTTTGACTGAATTTTCTCTGGGTTGGTCCAGAGAAATTCTCTGGTTTGAACTGAATTTTTTCTAGGTTGGTCCAAAGAAATTCTTTGGTTTGGACTAAATGTTCTCTGGTTTGGTCCAGAGAAATTCTCTAGTTTGGATTGAAATTTCTTTGGATTGATTTGAGAGACCTTAGACATTATGAAAATATTGGATGTTCTTTATGCTATAAAATCTTAATACCAAAGACCCTAAAAAAAAAAAATCCCCTTTAAAATATCTCAATTTCATGGTAATATTATATTACTATCGACTAATTTAATTTTACTTTGAGTGATTTGAATTGTTAATTTTATATAATTAAAAAAATTGCTCATAAAATAATTTAATTTATTTTATTGAATTCTATCAATTTTTACACTATTAAATTATTTTAATTTATGCAGTCTTTTTGATCATGTAATTACGATCAAATTTTTGTATGTATATATTTTTTTATAACTTGTTATATATATGGGATGGACCATTCATATCATTGATATGAGTAGACATGAATCCTATAATGTGCAAGTAAATAATGAAGTTTATTATGGTATACACTCCTTACACACTCTTACTTACGAACATTTGTATCTTTAATTATCACATATTGTATTGTTAGTTATCACTCGTTATTGATATTGGTTATGACATTACATTGTCATTGTTTGGAGAGTGGGTTTGGGATTAAAGTAGTTAAAAAAAAATAAAATAGGTTTTTTAGCTTTAATAAGATAAAACATTACATCAAATCTATAATCATTACATTCTTTCTCTCATAAAAAAATCAAAAAAGTCAAAAGTCTTTTCCAAACTAGGTTTTTTAACCTCAGATTAAAATAATCAAAAAATTCAAAAAGTCAAAAAGCTAACCCACTTCCCAAACCAAGCCATTGGTTATAATCTAAGAATATTTATTTATTTTTAATTATGACAATCAAATTTATAAATGAGAGAATTTTATTATACACACGTCATATTATATACACTATTAATTATGCTATTTTCTTTTTTAATTATAACATTATTTTGAGATATTTAGGCATAGTTTGGGAAGATTAAATAAGTGCACTTTTTGACTTTTTATGAAATATGGGTTGGGTTTGAAGTGATGTGTTAGAGAGGTGATGTGACTTAAATTTATAAATGAGAGAATTTTATTATACACACGTCATATTATATACACTATTAATTATGCTATTTTCTTTTTTAATTATAACATTATTTTGAGATATTTAGTTATGACTTTTTTTTTGTATTTGGATATGAATTTTTTTACGGTAAATTATAAATACACCCCTTGAGGTTTGCTAAAAATACGAATTACCCTTGTGGTTTGAAAAATTACAATTACCTCCCTATCAGAATTTTTTATTTAACAGAATTAATTAAAAAAGTAAAATTTCTAACTGTTCACCTATACAATAATAAATTTATCTGAATTAGTAATTGAAATAAAATTTTAATATTATTAAACACTGTTAATTAACTTGATGATTTATTAATAAAAAAACCTATTTGTTATGAAATTAAAAATTTTAGGAAGCATAATGTAATTTCTAAAACCACTGAAAGTAATTTGTAATTTAAGTAAACCTCAGGGGGTGTATTTTTAATTTACCCCTTTTTTTTAATAGTTATAACTTAGAAAATATAGAGTTATGTCATTTTTTTCCCTATAATTATAAGATACACCAAATGAATGGCATAACTTACATATTACAACAATGTTTGGTAGTTTAAATTTTTATAATTCGAATGACTTGAATGTCACAAAACGACATCATTTTGATACATTTAAGTCATTTGAATCACACAAATTCAAACTCTCAAACATTTTTCTACATATTATATCTACAATTTTTTAGGGGGCCGACCATAACATTTACTCAAAAAATAAGATACATACATAGCATAAAAAAATGAGATACATACATGGCATAATTATATTATACACACCCTTATATTATATATACTCTGGGTGTGTTTGATTGGACGAACTGGATAAGGGGGATTAGAATCCATCGGACTTGAGTGCTGGGACTGTGAATCCCCCGAATTATTTGGTTGGATTGGACATGTATACTGTGTTTGTTTTTTCATGAGATTAGATGTCTGGAAAGAACTATTTTTAGTGAATCCAACGTTTGGTTGGACAGACTGGATATGATAAATGAACAAAGGACTATTTTACCATTTTTTAATTGTTTACTAAGTAATAGCAAAATTAAACATATCTTTAATATTTTAATTTTTTACACAATTAAATAAATTTATTTTTTTAAAATAAATAAAATATCAATAAAAATATATGTTATTTTTTTAATTAAAATTTTAAATAATAATAATAATAATAAAACATCTAATTAAAATTTAAAAAGAATTAAATAATTATAAACTAGAATTTTAAAATAACATCGAACATAAAATTCTATAAAAATATTTTAAAAAAAATATAAATAAGAAACATCAATAAAAGTTAAACAAAATTATTTTATTTTTAAATTGAGACATTTAAATTTTATTGAATTTTATTAAATATAATACATAAATAGTAAGGGGTCAAAATAGTCATTTTATCACCTAATTTCAACAGTGGATAGTCCCCAAAAAATTGTCCCATATCCCCCCCTAAGATACAATAGTCTCCCATATGGGGGATAAGGAGTCTGGCTGGAGTCCATGTCCGGCGGACTAAAAAAAAAACAAACGCTGGATAAAGACCATTCCTGGATTACAATCCTAAGAGCATCTCCAACCCATCCTCCATATCTTCAAATATGGAGGATTTGCTCCTCCAACCCACCCTTCAAATTCATCTCCATTTGAGAGGAGAATGAGTTCATCCTCCATATTTGGGGGGAGGATGAAAAAATGAAGGATCCTCCAAAATACTATTCATTTATAAATTTGTTATTATATTACAAATAACTTTTAATTTATAAATTTAATTTTTATAAAATTGACATCATTAAAAAGTATAAAATTATATCTTTAAAATGAGTATAATATTAAATATATTTTACAAAAATTTTAAAATTAAATATTTATTAATGAATAAAAATTACTTTTTGAATAGAGTTTGAATGAAGGAAATGAAAGTTTGTGGTTGGAGTTTGAATGAATAGTAACCTCCTCTATATTTACTTTTTGAATAAAAAATATTATTTTCATCCTCTTAGTGAGAGTATTGCATTGGAGATGCTCTAATAGTAAATAATCCCCCCAATCAAACACACCCTTAATTACATCAATTTTTTTAACAAAAATATTTTAAAACTCTAATAACAGAGTTCTAAAAAAGCTATAATGAGATAGGACTACTTATGATGTGATGCTTTAGCTTGATTTTATTTATTTATTTTTGGAACCTGTCAGCTTAGTAGAAATCTATTTAGAGCCGTGAGCTGTTTTAGAACTATCAATCACTATTGTCTTTTTAATTATGATTAATTTTTTTTAATTATAATATTATTTTAAAATATTTAGTTATAATTTTTTTATATTTAGTTATAAATTTTTTTTATATTTAATTAATCATGATTCAAAAAATGTAAATTTCAAAAAATGTAAATTTCAAAAAATGTAAATTTATATCATTTTCTTCCAAGTTATATGGTGGGTATAGTCTTTGCTGGGCATATACATGATATGTATATATATATATATATCCACGTGATTATATGAGAGAGATGAGAGAGAAAGAGAGCAAGTTCTTCTGATCCTGTTCCCTCTCCTCTTCTCCATATCTCCCTCGATCTCCATTCTCTTCCCTCAAACCCCCACCGGTCCCCCCCACCCTCTCTCTCTCTCCAGAAATCATACACAACAGTCTTGGTCCGATTCACAACTCTCTCAATCAATCAATCCAAGCAAGCCCCACTCAAAAAAGGATCGTCTCTCAAATCTCAATTCTCATCGATTCCAACAATTACACATCTCTTGCTATTTCACCACTGTTTCTGATTGTTTTCTACCATTCATTCATTCTGAGTTCTTTTGTTGTGTTTTTCTTATCGCAGGCATTTTACTATGCTTCAATACCATCGAATTTGAAAGGAAAAAAAAGAAAAGAAGAACCTTGTTTTAGGGTTTTTTGGGATTGAATAATTGTGTTGTTGTTGTTATTTGTTTGTGTTGATGGGGAATAAGTTGGGGAGGAGGAGGCAAGTGGTGGACGAGAAGTATACGAGGCCACAGGGACTGTATCAACACAGAGATGTGGATCATAAGAAGCTTAGGAAGCTCATACTTGACTCTAAGCTCGCTCCGTGCTATCCCGGAGACGAAGAATGTGGATTTGATCTCGAAGAATGCCCAATTTGCTTTTTGGTTTGTGTTTCAATTCTCAAGCTATCAAATTATTTGCATTTGGCCCAATTTTCTGTCTGTGTTTCAATTCTGAAGTTGTCTTTTTGTTTCCTTTTCGAATTATTTGCCATTTGGGTTCTGTTTAGTTTATAGCAAATTGAGTAATCAAATTTTCTTTTTTGGTTTGTGTTTCAATTCTGAAGTTGTCATTTTGTTTGCTTTTTCGAATTATTTTCATTTGGGTTCTGTTTAGTTTATAGCAAATTGAGTAAAGCAAAAGGAAATTTGCGGAACGGAAAGTAAAGTTCATTGGCTTGATGAGGCTAAATTACTGCACGTTACATGGGTTGAGTTGATTTGGAGTGAAAACAAGAAAAAAAAAGTATTAAGTTTTTAAAATTTCATTCGTGGTAGGTAATTGTTCAATGCATGACTGAAGTATGTGATGTTCTAATTATATGTTTCAGTTCAACATTTCAATTATTTTGCGTTACGTAAAAGCAGCTGATTTATCTAACCAACTACAAACCGAAACTATAGCAACCCTAAGTTTGCAATCTAATTTTGCATTTGGTTTTATTCTTGCTACTATTGAAGTTTCTAATTGTATACTTTTTTCTGTGTGGTTTGAAAACTTTCAGTATTATCCAAGTCTCAATCGCTCAAGATGTTGCACGAAAGGCATTTGTACAGGTTCTTATTATTTATAACATTTGTCATTAATTATTGTAATTTTAATTTGGATACTTTTTTTTTTTTTTAATTTTTTTGTTTTCTCTTTGCAATAGAGTGTTTTCTGCAGATGAAGACCCCGAATTCGACTCGACCTACTCAGTATCCTTGAGTCTATGATGTATGAACTATGTTTCTACATTTTTGGGTGATAATTTCAGCTACTATGTTTTAGAGAATCTCTGATTCTTTCTTCCAAATTCATGTTCTATACTTGCATTCTTTAACCATATGAGGTGTCCATTCTGTAAAACCTTGAACTATGCGGTGGAGTATCGTGGGGTGAAAACAAAGGAGGAAAAGGGGATCGAGCAAATTGTAAGATTTTCTTTACCATAGTATCCTTTATTTCATTCTATTATTAAAGGGAATTTTTGAATATGTTCAGAATATCAAATTATCATTATGTGTGCTCTAATAGGAAGAACAAAGGGTTATAGAAGCAAAAATTAGGATGCGGCAACAGGAACTTCAGGATGAAGAACTGAAAATGCTGACAAGGCAAGAAATAAGTTCTTCAAGCAGATCAATGTTACCAGGAGAGGTTGGATATAGCACAGGGGAAGGTATTTTCATTGTCTGGGTTCAGTGCTATCTATATTCTTTGCTTTGGTTATTGTATACCTTATTTTTTTTCTTCTAATATTTTATGTTGTGCATTACTTTTATTTTTCCTGCAGTGGACGAGGAAATTGTTTCTTCTCAAGAACCACTAAGACAATCTCTACGGCCTAGGCAGAACAGGTATTTATATATTTAATGTAGTTTTTGTGTCTGACTTTGAAAGTTGGCTCGCTTTTCTAATTTCACGATTCCTTATTTATTGTTCCTTCCATCCTCTCTTCCCCCCCCCTCCCCCCCAATTATATATCTGATGCTGCTCAAGATGTCTGAATTGTGCTGCTTCTATTTCACTTTTTATATGGCATGAAATTTCTTTTTGTGATTGTTGTTTCCCATTTAAGTTTCTACTTAACGTCCTTTATGTCTTTATGATGTCATTTTTTAATTCACATAATGACATTGTCTTATTTGTGGTTAGCCAAAATATATTTTAGTGAACATTGGTGTTTTTGGATGTCACTGTACATATGACACATTTTACTCAGAATATATGAATGGGATGATATTGATCATTTGTAGAGAATCTTTTCTCCTCATGTCTGGATGTTGGAGAGGAGTTGCATAGCATTCTAATTTATAACTTCCCGAACTGATATTGCACCAATCCTTCATTTATTTTGATGAGTCTTGTTGATAATTATGTCGGCTATTTGGAGAATTTATGCGGGATGGATATATTGGGGATGAGGACTCAAATGTTTCACCGGTAGTAATGGTCATTTCTGAATGAGAAAAATTTGCAACAACAGCTGACCGTGCAACTCCACTTGACCTTTCAAAGGAAACAAAATTAAGTTGGTGATATTCCCTGGTTTGAGAAGCCATTCACCCTTGGTAGGAAGCTTATGGTACTTCACTACCTCTAAAGCCTTATGGTAAGCTTTCTCTAATGTCGTCGTCACTGTTCTCCGTCACCCAGTCTAATGTGAGAGAACTGATTGTCAAGGTAATAAAGAAACACCTATCGTGTCACATTTTTGTTTCCCTCGGAGAGTTGAAGCTTAGTCTGGTGGTGCACTATTAGCAGGGTAGATACATAGTTTTACTAATGAAATGTTAGTAGAAGTCCATGCTATCTATTACATTCATAAGCATATCAATGAGAATATGAAGGTTTTGTGGATGAACAAAGATTTCAAATTGAGAAAGATAACTAATATATATACTCAAGATAGCTAACTTTATTTAATATATATATATATATTCAAGATAGCTAATTTACATTAGCATTTTCTTCACTGGAAACATTTCATGGTTGAGAAAGATAACTTTTGTATGGAGAATTCAAATGCAACTGGTGCAATTTGGTAGTAACAATGATTAGGCAAATCCTGCGTGGTAATGGAAGTCATAACCTGGGTTGTGATTGCCATCCGTTGACCACTAAGGTACTGTATGAAGACTTCTTCACATAGCATCTATTTAGGAGTGTGCAGATCAATACTTTAACTTGTCATGTAAGAAGATGTTGGTTGAGTCAGTGCAAATGATCATTGGTGACATCCATGGATGTAAGAGTTGAGTGGCATTGTTCTCACTAATGGATCTTATAAACAAGATTACACATCTTAGTAACAAACATGAAAAAAGCAGTTTCGCTTTGCAATAATCAATGCCATCTATTATATTCAGCACTGCAACTATTGTGTGTATAAGCATTACATAGACTTGGCAGCGGGAATGTGTCAAAGTGTCTGATTCGTTTAACAATCAAATGATTATCGATTTACATTGATAGAGTAGTTTTCAGCTCTAGCCTTTTGTGTTTGTTAGTAAGATTTGTTACAAGGCATAGTGTACTACTATTTTTGCTCGGAAAAGTGTAATCAAGGGAGCTTTTAGTGGCACCTAAAAAGTATAGACTCTTTAAAGAAGGTGGTGTGTCCATGTCCGACATGTGTCGAATGTCGGACACAAACATGGCCAATTGTTTTTTTTAAAATATTTTAGACTTGGACACATTTTGGGCACTTGAGGGATACATTTGTTAATCGCTTAGACACATGAAACACATAAAATTTTTGAACAAAACAAAGTAGAATTTAATGGTAAAAGAAATTTAATGTAAATTATACGTATTAATATATTATCTTTTGAACTTTAGAAATTTGAAATTTGTGTTGTGTTGTGCTGTATATATATATTTTTTTTGTTACAGGAAAATCCTCCCTACCCTCTCGCAAGTCCAAGGCAGAAATATTTATATGATTGAAATATTGTATATTCTTATTAACTTTGACTGAAATATTTATATGACATAATAAATATATAATGCTATATATTATGTGAATTCTACACGTGTCGTGTCTTGCATTTTTTCAAAATTGGCGTGTAAGTATGTTTGTAACGTTTCATGTATCCACGTCTGTGCTTCTTAGGTGCCTACATTTACTGCTGGTTTTAAGAAGCTTATCAACACAATGTTACCACTATATAAAGCTGGTAGTGCCCTGTCAATGTAGGGTGCTGGAAGGGGTAAACTGGGCAGAAAACTAACTTAGCATTGTTTTCACAAAGCGAATGCCCTTAGCTTTAACTCACATCCTTGTGCTTGACAACCCTTTCTTTTATTATTGCACCAAGCTAAGAAACACTGGCACTTTTGAGAAGGTGGCGTGCTGTTTAAACAATATTAGAATAAAATAATTTGGAATCCAATGAAGAAAGAAAAACAACGTAAATTTGTACATGTTCTCCATCTTCAGACTATAAAAATTTTATCTTTTAAATTTTCATGTATATGACATAATAATTGCTTAACCATATACTAAATATATTAAACAATATATTTTGTGTGTCCCCACATATATTTTTTGACATTTTTTTTATAGAAAATTTCATGTTAGCGTGTCTCTATTCGTGTCTGTGCTTCTTAGGCACCAAACAATGGGACATGCTTATCATTGGCTGAGATTTCTAATGAGAATTACTGGGTATCTTTATGCATGGATATTTTATATACTCATAAATATAACTATTTAACAGTAACTGAATGGAAGAATGCTATATTTACTCTTGAGAAGTATTCTAACGACACAGCAGAAGTGTTAAATTTGACAATCCAATTGGTCAATTAAGAGAAAGGAGTTCTCGTCTTCATTTAGTGAGATATAAAGTGCTTAAAAATTGTGACCTGGCACGACAGCATGTCCAATCTGCCCTGCAGGCTGCAGCATGTGGTGCAGGTTTGAGTCATGAGAATTTACCTCCCTCACAAAAAAGAAGTGAAGGGTGTGTACAACATTTTTTTAGATATCAGTGCTTTATTTGACAGCTTATGCAACAATTCACTTGGTAAAGCTCTAGCTATTGCTATATTTTACCAATGAGGTGACAAATTACTATAATTTAGCATTGTTACTCCAATAGTGTCTTTGCTATATTTTCTTGTTTTAATCACAACGATTGAATTGTAATTCTCCACCTTTAATCACAGCCTCCCATTATCATCTCTGCCTCCAATTTTCGGGTGCAGCTCTGCTTTTCTATACAGATTGTGACAAATGCAATTCATTCCTTTGATTCTGGTGCTAAATGCAGGGATGATGAATTTGACCTGGACCTTGAGGACGTAATGATTATGGAAGCCATCTGGTTGTCGATCCAGGTACTTAAAATTGATTAATTAATTATTTGGCTTCAACTAGGGTAAGGTGAGAAGGCATTTGAACATCTATGTGGTTTACTAACAGTCACTGAACCAAATGAATAGTTATCAGAGGGTCCTAAAATGAAATTTGCTATTCTGGATTGAGAATATGTATTATTAGAGTTCTCTATTTGCAGTTCTCATAATTGTTTGTGTGCTATGTATGTCATGATGTTTGCGTAACTGGTCCAATTAAATTGGGGTAGCACTTGTACCATGCAGCTGCCATTGAAGGTGGTTGGGTGGTGATGAGTTCATCTTTCCTCGGTCAGTGCTTCTGTTCGAGTCATGATGCCTTCATTTTGTGTCGAGGTCAGCCTCGGCTTGTGGAACCGAACTAACTGCTAAAGACCAACTGAAGTAATGGTTTTGAAAAGTTTTGCACGGATGAAAACCAAACTGACTGAAATATTATATTTAAATATTTTTATATTTTAATTTGTTGAGCATTATAATATAAGTGACCAACAATACATGTTTTATAATAAAAATTAGTGAGCGAGACATTTATAGAGCAACTTTTACCATTTTTCTTCATTTATTCCCATTGTGGAATTTTACAGGTTTTTATGAAACCCTCAAAACTTCATGTGAATCCCTCTTGTACACCAAATTGACAAAACCAACAACCAAATTGTAGCATGTGGTCTGTTTTGGTGCTAAATTTTTCCTCAACCCTGATTGAACTGAACCCGCTTACACTCCCTACTCCTCAACTAGAAGGGGGAAATTTTTATTTTGATGAAACTTGTTGTCCTGTTTCAATAGTAATCCTTGCCGACGATGATTATTACTTTTGGCATCCTAGGCTTTAAGAGATTGCAATAATTGCTTGATCTTGATGAAGGTTTCATAAGCATGAGTACTACCAAAGCACCAAGCCCAAACATTGTAGTGTGTCACATGCTTCTTACTGTGTATTATTATCAAATTGATCTCACCTCCTCTGTTATGCATTTGGGAAAATCTGACTATTTATTTTATCCTCATTCATTTTTCTGAATAACCTTGTACTTACATACCTGATATAAATGATGACAGGAGAGTGGCAGACACAGAAATTCAACCTACGGTGATTCCATTCCATCTGAACAGCACATGACAGAAGACCAGTGTGAGACAGCCATGCCCCAACTGGCCGAATCGTCTTCATCCCCATCTGGTGGTCTTGCTTGTGCAATCGCTGCTTTAGCTGAGCGTCAACAAACGAGCGGTGAATCCTCTGGGAACTATGATGCAAATATGTCGACATTCAACGCGCTTCCCAGTTATAGCCAGTTTTCAAATAGGGGGGAGCAAGAGACGGAGTGTTATCATCCTGATAGCCAACCGGCAATAACTAGGTATGAGGGAGAATGGGGGGTAGATCATGGGTCTGAGGTGGCTGAAGTGGGGACCAGTAGTGGGAGATCTGATACGGCTGAAGATGGTGGTAGAATTGCTGCATTCCCGCCTCAACATGAAATTGAGGGTGGATTCCAGACTGTAGGAGGACCACCTATTATTCCGGAGAGTTTTGAGGAGCAGATGATGCTGGCCATGGCTGTCTCATTGGCTGAGGCTCGAGCCAGGACGAGTGCACCAGGCCTTGCGTGGCAGTAGCATTAAGGTGAAGGCACTAACGATTCTCTGTGCCTTTCTCTATCTCTTTTTCCGTATAAAGATGTAAAAAAAGACATGAAATGATTTTTATTGAATGGAAGGCTCTCTGTTTACGCCATTTGAATTGATTCAAATTCAATTTGACAAATGGTATTTGCAGCGTTCCCGTCCCATTCATTTCGGTTATGGAAATGAAATCATTTGTCTACGTTCAATGACGAACTGCCATCCTTTTTTTTTGAATATTTTTTTACCTCTTGAATGAAGGTAATTAATAATACTAGGGCAAATGTTATGGGTTTCTAAAGTACAAACACAGAACAGTAACAGGTTGAGATCAGGCAAGGCACATTTAAACATGCATCTAATACACCAAACCAAGCACCCTCAGACTAAGCACAGCACACCTAGCAAGTTGCACTGGAAATTGACCTAGCAATATTATGGATGAACCAAAAGAAAAATGATGCACAATATTCTACATCAAAGGGGTTGTTTGGTGCAGCTTATGAAACTGTTTATAATTTTTTGTTTTTTTTGAGGAAAATTTGTGTAAGAGTATATGGTACAACTTATGTTTATAGCTTATAATGCCATCCATTTGTGTCAAAGTATATGGTACAACTTATGCTTATAGCTTATAATGTCACCCATTTAATGGTTTTGTTTTGAGTTATGAAGTCACGTTGCCGAGCCGAATGCAAGTGCAAAATCATATTTGGGAGCCGAATGCAAGTGCAAAATCATATTTGGGAATCGTTATTTCGAAAGTCAATTCCTTCTAATCTTAAATATTATTTGATTTACTGAAATAAAAATAAAAGTGAAATAGTCATTATATTTGGATGATTATTCTTAAGTTTGATTTATTAAAAAAATGCTAATGAATAATATATTAAAAATGAAATTGTAATTCACCATTATAATGAATGGTTATTCTACAAAAAGATTAAAACATTATCATTATATTCCATTCTACTTTTAAAACACTATCTAAACGTAGATTAATTAAGTGATTGTGGTCAAATCATAAAGAGTTTGGGCAGTGGCTTACCTGCAGTTCACCGTCTGAACTGGAGGGTCCAATCCTATCTATTAGACTCATTTGTGGGTTCTTTTTTGATAATTCGAACTGTTCATATTTTTGGATTTGTTGAGTACATTATTCCTGTAAAAAATTAAGTCGATCAGATAACGGTTACTATGTATTCAGATTATTCTTTTATGAATTGTTAATTTTCTGACTGTCTATTTTTTTTGTTCAAGATAAAAATGATTTAAATATATAGTATCTGTTATCTGATGGACATGATTTTGCCTAGACCCAAGACTTTGTCATGTAATTGTCTTGGGTTGGCTCTACTAATTAATAAGTAGATATATTAAGACTTTGTGCATTGTTGAATGAAGACTTTAGTCATTGATTTCTTTGTCATGTGAGTCTTGATTAACGAGACTAATAACGTGGTTAATAATAAAAGGATTAATAATTTCATGAATTAGTGTATGATTAGTTATTTAATTAAATTTGTGAAATTTGCATTTATTATGTATTTATTTTATTTTTTTCTTTCATACTTAAAATTATAATGTCTAATCCCTTTCAATATTAAAAATTCGTTAATTTCATTGGATTGAAGGTTCACAGTACATGAAATTTGGTTAATAAAATTTATAATCAAATACGAGATTGTGAGTTTATGAACTAACAATTCCAATCTTATGCAATAATCCTGCTAATCATACTCTAACGGCATGTTTGATTGGGTGGATTAGAGAATGAGATTGAGATTATTAATCCGTGGGCCCAATTATCCTATGTTTGTTTTAATATTTTGGTTTAGGATTATTAATCCAATGGATAATTAATCTAACAAATTTGTAGGATTATTAGTAATGGGGTAGAGGTGAGATTATTAATCCAATGGATATTAATCCAATTGGATAGTGAATACCACACTAATTTAATAGGATTATTAATACTTCACTATTAATTTTGTGAATCAAACATGACCTAATTGTATTATTTTTGAAGATTTTGTGCATCATTGAATGAAGACTCTAGTCATCACAAACACTATATTGGGGCATAAGTTGCATGTGGTATTATGACTTCGTCTAATATACATCTATCAATTGTTTTTTTATATTGTCCACATTTTTTTTTTTTTGGTTTTGTAACTTACAAGAATTTCTCTCAAGGTACAAGGTTTTACTATGCATTAGAGTAAAAAAATGAGCGACTATATTAAGAGGCTTCTCACCTAACTTTTCTTTTTTTTCTTTTTCTTTTTTTCTTTCTTTCTTCATGCAATACTACTAAAAAATATTCAAATTAGTACATCTATAGACCACAATCATTCTAAGTGTAATTCACATCTCACTAATTTCAAATCTACAAAATGCACCTAATTTTGGTATATAGAATTCAGGACTCAAATTCATGATACATGACATTTTCTTTTTTTATGACTGAACATTAGTATGGGAAAGAAACACATCTATGTCCACTTGTTTTTGGTAAAGAGTACAAAAATATTAAAACACTCCTTCGAAAAGAAAAAAAAGAGAGTTTGTGACACCAATGTTTCGATGCAAATTTTTAATAACATTAATAACAAAATAAAGGGATAGTGATCAAGTAATAGACTAGGTCATTGGAGTAGTTGGTAAGACCTTTAAGCTTCACATGCAATGTCTCTTAACATGAGAGAGAGTTCAGCTACTTCTTTGGATTCACATTCATTCTAATGTGTAGCCCATGCTTGCATTCAATGGTTGTAACACTTTCAAAGTAAAATAACATTAGATGAACACAAATTGTAGCCTATCAACACTATCAGGTTTCTAGCTTTATTGATAGTTAATAGGTGTCTTAGAACAGAGTTAGTTTTGTGTGTTGTGAAGTTGATAATCTCATTTTTTTTTTAGGGTCTAACTTCTCTCAAATTAAACTGGACATCTAGTTTACAATAGTGGACCTTATAACTTCTTTTATAGAATTTGAACTAAATGTCTACTCCAACCAAAGAGGAGCTTTTATCTTTTTCCTATTAGTTAGACAATGATATCCATACTTTTGTGTTGATGATTAGGAGACAATATAAGAGTATAGACATTTGTGATTAGTTGAAGATATAATATGGCAACACCATGAAATGGACATTAAGTTCGCTTAGTAAAATTAAAGAAGGCAGATAGATTAAGAGTAGTGTTATTCCCACTCATCTTTTAATTGAATGCTTTCATTTTTTTTTTTAATGAGATAAAATTACAATAATGCTATTGGCACTTTTGTTAACTACCTAAACTGTCCGTCTTCCAAGTCCTCACATTTCTCTTCTTTCATCTCCCAAGAGGGGTAATTTTGTTATTTGCACAAATTTACATAATAAGAACAAAATATAGATTGTATTTGGGGAAAACAAAAGTTAGAATAAGATGACCCTAAATGAATATGGCAATGTATTAATTTCGTCAAGAAATTAAACTATATTCATTTTGAGTCATAAGAAAACAAATTCGGTGCCACCAACAAATTAATTAGTTTTTCTGTAACACTAACAGGCTTAATATGTTTCAACTAGAAATTAATCATAGGCATTTGGTCTAAGCAAGTTACCCATTGAGGACTATGAGGTCTCATTTGAAAACATGTCATTTTTGTAATTTTTTTGATTTTTTACGAAAAGATGTGTAGAAAAGTAAAGAGAGTGACGTGATAAGTTATAATCACTTTTTAACTTTTTAACTAAAACGTATAATTGACAAACAAAGCCTAAGTCAACCAAAAATCCAACCCTTAATATTTTGTCAAGAAGTTATTGGCTGGTTTAAGTCCAAGGCCAGGTGGTGCTTTTACTACACATTGAACGAATATTATTGGTGACTGCTCTATTCACCTGACAGTAATGATCGATTTATGAATTGGTGGATTTGGCCTGAAATTGTGATCAATCAAGGATCAACGAATGATAATTTGTTGATAATCAGAGTGAATTTGTGGATTTATGATGAATTCTAATTTGATCAATAGTTAAGCAACACACGAACCTGTTTTCATAGTGAAATTTGTGCACAGCAATCTATCATCAACATATCAAGGATTTTTAAATGGTAACTAAAATTGTATCATCTTGTCCACAATATTAGTGTAGTTTCATAAGTCTTTTAATTAGCGGTAAAATTATACAAATAACTACTAAAAAAACCTATCTTAAAAGGCTTCAGCCGTATAGATTTTAAAATTAACTCTCATGTGTAAGCATTATAAAGTGGCTCTCTCTCAAAAGCTGGACTCTACCAACTCTCTCCTTAATTTTCATCTAATATATATATACGATCTATCATATCTATACATACTTTAATCAGTAAAATTGATAACTAATGTGAATCATGTTCACTACCCCATAAAGTGGTTTAATCTAAAGTTACACATTCCCTGACGGTGGGAAGTTATGAAGAGTTACACTTGGATCATGATCCAAGCCTATCTACATATGCCTGTGATAGCCATCAAAACACAGATGTTATTTTTGTAATAGAATATGCTTGAAACTCTGTTCTTTTCACTTTTCTATATAGTTATGTGAAAGCGTTTTGTGAGTAGTTTGTTTATATATTCAAGATTTGATCAATCAAGAACAAGATTCAAAGGTTTGAATATTATGACGAAAGGTATTCTTCTTTCTTATTGAATTATTTTAATTATCACAATTGGTATCATAGCCAACCTTGTATTTTGTTGTTTAGCTTTTGATTCATTTACACAAAATCGAACTTTAGTTTTCGCATCTTACAGTGTAGAATAGAACTTGACGGACGTTTAATTCAACGATTTAATGAATATTTTGATGTGCATCCTCATATACTAAAACTTTGATAACTACTCCTGTACACGAGCCACTATTCTTTTGCTCCTGTAAAGAAATCAATTAAAAAGGTTGTGGTCCATTTTTGACAACAAATTAACTATTCTTCATATTTTATGTGGATTAGTATTTTATACATGTGATATTTGTATATTAATTCACACCATAAAGTTTAACAATTCAGGGTCTTCGTAGAATCAGAATGAGTAATTTAATTGCATAATTTTTGAATATCACTATTAAAAAAAAGGAAGAACTGTTGCATGAATATTATAAATATATATGTAATTTAGAGGCAACAATAGAATTCATCTTGATTTATGCTAGTGGTATTTACATTAATTTAGAATTTTCTTC